ATCAATTGGGAGTCACTGAAGATATCAATTCGTTTAACCCCAAGGTGTTTGGCCAAACGTAAGCCTGCTATGAGGACTTCATATTCGGCCTCATTGTTCGACGTCTTGAATTTGAAACGAATAGCATACTCCATTGCCACTTTGTCAGGGGTCGTAAGGACTAGTCCTGCTCCACAACCCTGTTGGTTGGACGAGCCATCAACATATAGACTTCATGCTAGGGCTGTTGGAGTTCAACCTCATTCGATACCTCTTTAGAATGGTGAAAGTTTCAGATAGGTTGGTGATGTGTTGGTCAGCATGTTCGCTATTGACTAACATATCATCAACGTTTGAACACTTCCATGTTATTCCCAATCTTGTTCGAATTGCAACACTTTGACCTTTTTGACCTTCTCTTGTTCGTACATTCGCTCCGATTCATTTGGCTTAATGCGGGTCTTGGGCTTCGTCAATACTTAAGCGATGACAGATTGATATCGGGAGAGATGCCTAGCATGTCCTCGTATGACCAGGCGAAGACCTCAGTGTTCTCTTGCAAAAAGAGATCAAATACCAACCGAATGGGTGGTGACAAGGTGGTGCCATCTTCACCATGCGATCTGGATAATCTTTTGAGATAAAGACCTTCTCCAACTCTTCAGCGGGTTGTGCTTGCTGGGTGAAAGAGTCATCTCAAGGATCGTCGGGTTGACTATTGCCACCGTGAAGATCCAAGTTTGCTTTGTCTGGGCTGGTCTTTTATGACTTGGTCATGTATAGAAAGGGTTTCCTTGGGCACAAGCAGGGTTGTTGTTCCGAAGTTTGACCATGTTGAAGTTGATCTCACTCTGATGTCATTCTGCCATGAGGGTAAATTGCCATAGGGGGTTGGAAATTTCATTAACAACATATGTGTATCATGGCCTTGATCAATTGGGTGTATGTGTCCCAAGATGACATTGTATGCCGTTGGGCAATCAACCACCAGGAAGTTAGTGGTAAGTGCTGTGTAAATGTAATGTTGGAAATTTTGTTCCCAAAGTTGCCAAATATTGACCGGAAAAGCTTATCAGAGGGGAATCGAGCGAGATCGAGCAAGTGTTTCAGCTACATTAAGTGCCCTTAAGCTTCAGCAAACATGATATTGACCGAAGCCCCCATGTCTACCAGGATTCGTCGTACTTCAAAGTTATGTGAGCTTCCAATCAGTGGGTTGTTGTGAGGGTAGATGATACCTCTTTCTTCCTCAGGGTAGAAACATATTGGATCCCAGTTAGGCTTTTGATACTTACCTCCCCTGATATCTTCCACGTGAAACACTTGGTAGCCAGACTTTAAAGCTCGTTCACTATTTTTCATGGCCCTGTTGGAAGATTTAGATATGGGTGTGCCACCACTTATGGAATATATCACATTCACCTGGCCTTGGTTACGGTTACCCCTTGGAGGGTGAATGAGGAATTGATCAATTTTTCCTTCACGTGCCAAAGCTTCAATATGATCACGAAGGGTGATACACTTGTCGCCGTCAAGGCCGTTATGCTCGTGGTAGCAGCAAAACGTGCCCGTGCTCTTCGTGGGCTTGTAATCTGGGTGCCTCGGCTTTGGCTTCGGTATCAAGTGTGCTATGCTGGGGTAAATGGCCACACATGTGGCGTTCAAAGGTGTATATGCCTCATACCTCGGGGTAGGGGCTGTCCTAACACGTGCTTGACCCACTCTGTTGACTGCCTAGAGTCGGGGATTATCATGGCGTTACCCTTGGTTATCGCGGTAGTGTCCCTTACTCCTTTTACTAAAATGAGACTGGTGAGGATGGAAATCTTTCCTTTTGCCCTGAGATTGATATGTCTGTTGACTTGACAAAGTATTAAGTAAGGCAGGGGGAGACACCTCTGTCGTTTGGAAGGTCGAGGTCTTCTCATTTGATTGGATCTGGCTTCTACTCCCTACTTGCTGATAAGGGTTGGTTGTGAGGGGTTTCCCTTGATATGTCCTTGCCTCAGCAGAGGCATGGTTGTAAGCCTGTGCCATCACCTCAGAGCAAGTCTTCTAAGTGTTGGCATTGATCATGTACTTGAAGAAACAATCACGTAGGCCTACCGTGAAGGCCTTGATGGCGGTCTTGTCATCTGCCTCAGCGCAGCGAGAATACTCATGGGTGAAACGACCAACATACTCTCGTAGTGACTCGTCTGGCTTCTGGCGAATAGTGTACAAGTCATCTGCAGAATGCAAGCGATCCGTCTGGAAGATGTGTTGAGAGACAAACAGTTTTCTCAGTTCCTCAAATGAGTCTACTGTCTCAGGTGGAAAACGGTAATACCAGTTTAGAGCTCCGCCAGAGAGGGTGAAGGGGAAGAGAAGACATCGCTCTTCATCGGTGTGCATCTGATATGCCATGGTGAACTCAAAGAGGTTAAGGTGTTCAATTGGGTCCTCCCTTCCAGTATAGAGTTGTAAACCAAGCTTTTGTTTTGTCTTTGCTTGAAGGGGGTGTCGAGGATCCTTCTTGTGAGAGGGCCAGGCCTGGGTTGGTTCCAGTTAGGTATCTCGGCCTGACGTTCGGCCTTCAACTTGTTTACTTCCTCAATGAGCTGTAGGACAAGGGGGTCTTGAGTGAAGTCATGTACCACTGGGATTTTCTTTCGTAAGTCTCCATTGCCTCTTGGAAGTAGGAAAGTTTGAGCAAGGGCATGTGATTTTTCCCTAGACTCGCCATACTGACGTTCAAGGTATGTCTATCAAAACATCTATGAGTCCCTTATACCTTCGTGTTTCTCTAGGATTTGCTGCCCCTTCCCCAAATTGGTAACCTGTCTGGGACTTGGAAGGGGACCGAATCTTTCAGAAACCCTTGGGTCATTGATCTTCGAGCTTATATGGAGGGGATTCTCTCGACGTTGCTTTAGGAAGTCTCGGCAGTCACGATAAACGACTTTTGATCCTTCCAAACCTTTCTGCAAGGAGGTGTCTTCCTTCACTTCTCCTGCTTCAGGTCGAAGTAGTTGGGTTGAGAGAAGTCTCATGTTGATCAATGTTTTGATGATTAGCTCGCTCCTTATCAGGGATACCCATGTCGAAGGAAGGTGACCCTCCGTGTTGGGGGGCACCCAGGTGATGATTGATGTCTACAGGGGTAACGAGCTCGCATGTTTGAGTACGCCTAGTTTCGTGGAACGTCTCAAATAGCTTCTCATACTGCTCCTGAAGGACCTCATTTTTCATTGCTATCTTGTTGTTTTGAGCTTCTAGCTCATCGACTTTAGCTTGAAGAGCAACCCACTTTCCTTCATTTTTTCATTGCTTCGCACTAGGTGCAAGAGGGGTGTTATTCTGTGTGCTGTGGGCTTCCTTTGCTCCCCATGTTGGAGAGGGATGCCTGGTCAAAGAGAGTGTACAAATGGTGGAAACCAGCTTGAAAAGCTGCTTAGACGGGAATAAGTGTCGTTCCATAGATTTTGATGCACAAAATCAGTAAGGACTTTGGTACAACAGAAAATGTTAAGTTTGTGACCTTCGCTAGATTGCTCCGGTCACTAGTGTGGATAAGTAAGTAAATGGATATGGACAGGGAAGCAAACACAAGATGTACGTGGTTCACCCAGATTGGCTACGTCTACGGAGTAGAGGAGTTCTCATTAATTGTGAAGGGTTATACGAGTACATAAGTTCAAGCTCTCCTTTAGTGAGTACTAGTGAATGATGTAGTACAAATGACATTCAGAAATATTGTGAGAGAATAATCTCTATTTATAGTAGAGAGTTTCTAGTTTCATTCTGACATTGACACGTGTCGTGTTGTGATTGGCTTCTGATGTGGACACGTGCCGCGCTATGATTGACTTCTGATGTCAACACGTGTCGCACTGTGATTGGCCTCCTAGTTGTAGGGAAACTCTTCTGGGTCCTTGACGGTATAACGTTGACTGGTGCTCAGTAGTTTCGGGATTGGTCAAGTATGGTACAAACAAATCCCATAATCCAAACAGCCCGTGGACTTATCCTAAATACAGAGTCACATTCGATGCTTTTCTTATATGGGGTCTGATTGGACCAAGGCTTCGATGCTTCTGTTATACGGGGTCTGGTTGGACTAAGGCAAGTGTTTGGACCCGGAGGATTGTATGGGAACTTGGTGTGGCTATTCCTTGTTAGAGCTTTCTTGCCGGTTCCAATTTGGGTAATGAGCAAAATCTTCCCAGACAAGAAATGGATTTCCTTGATCAACATGCCAGTCATCACTTATGGCTTTGCGGGGATGTCGTATGCAACTCCCACCAACATAGCAAGCTGGCTTATCACCGAATGTATCTTCAACTACTTCGTGTTCAAATACCATAAGCGTTGGTGGCAGAAATACAATTATGTCTTGTTTGCAGTGTTGGATGCGGGGACAGCTTTCATGGGTGTCCTCCTATTCTACGCCTTGCAGAATCCTAAGTACGAATTGAAATGGTGTGGGACTGAACTCGATCATTGTCCTCTGGCGACATGCCCCATTGCACTAAGTATTCACGTTGAAGGATGTCCAATTTTTTAAATAACCATGAAATGGTGGAACAAAGATATATTTGAAGAATAAAAGCTGAGGAGGAGGGTTATTGTCGTAGTTATGGAGGAATGGGAGATTGTGTGCTCTTAGCAAATTGGAGGATTTCTAGGTTGGGAATTGTTCTAGTTTTTAATGCTCTACAGTATAACCGGAAATGTATCATTCAAATGAAATGTATGGGTGTTCTTATTAATTATCTTATAATCAATTTAATATGAATGAATGGGTATAATTCTACGTTTCTGTGCTGGATCCTATTCTTCAAATTTTTTTTTCCCATCTATTTGGAATGTAACAACCCGTTCTAAAAAATGAGTGAAAATTTTTGAATTTGCCCTTGCGTTGAGCTTTGTCATTCCGGCCCAAAGATTTGGGTTGTGTGGCTCCCCAACCCAAAACCCGACCCACAATCCTTTTTCTTTCTTCTTCTTCCCTCACTCGTGAGATACCTCTATCTCTCCCTTCTTCCCCAAGCTCGACAACTCTCTCTCAACTCACTTTCTCACTCCGAGCACGAAACCCCTCCCACAAACGCTAATTTTCGAGTGAATCCTTACCAAAAATCCATTTTTTAGGTGTAGCTTGACCCATAGTTTCGAGTGGCGGTGTTGCATGTGGAGATTAGGCACTCTAAACCAAAGAAAACCAACCCTTCTTTCTCGGTGCAAAACTTTGCGACGAGTTAACCCGAGGCTGAATGAGATCAGAGTACTTCAAACTCATTTCAACCTCCACTAAATCTCAGGTACAATTTATGTACCCTGCATGTCGAATTTTGGCATGAAATCCTTGGGTTTTAACCATATTTGTGTTGTTATTCATTTTCCAGATTCCAGCGAGGGACCGTATTGTTGCAGGTCATTTTCTGGCAACCTTGTGGCACGGCCTAATTCCATTTAGGTATATTTCGAATCTATGTCATCTTAACTTTATTTTGGTTTTCAAATGGTGACCTATGGTGGATCAGGGCTGGGAAGTTAAAACCCTTACAATTCTGGTTTTCTCTTTCGTTGGGTTCGACGACCCGCGACCTCAATCGGGTCGACCCGACCCGCAACTCAACTTGAAACCCAACCTATTGCCAGGTCCAAATCTGATAACTTATAACCCAGGCCCAAGTTCTGAACCCATAAACCAAGCCCAAGTCCCTTAACCCATTAACCAGGCCCCATCCTTTAGATCCGGCCCAATAACCCTATCCCGGTCTAACCCATCAGACCCAAGCCCAGGTTTGACCCTTGACTTTGACCAGGTGACCATTGACTTTTCGATCAACATTGACCGTTGACTTTTCAGTCAACACTGACTTTTAAGTTAACTTTTTCGTGTTTAGCCCGGGACCTCCTTCTAGACTAATTTTGACATCCTGATTCCAAATCCGCACTCCGTTTTCACCAATTCAATCATTTTAGTAGAGTTTTACTAATTGGTCCATATATGTGCTTAGGTATGATTGTTAGTGGCGATCCAGTTCTCCCTAGTTCGAGCGACTCCCCATGAGTGGAATATTTGTGAGTGGATCCCTTCTCAAATGAATATTTTATAATTAACCGTCTAGCATGCAAACTCATATTTCCTAATTTGAATATGGATATTATGCTTTGCTTTATAGATTTCTAGATGATGATTTATTTAAATTACGTTTTATGAAACGTTATAAACTCTTGGTTTTACACTTATAAAATGTTTACGACTATTGCTTTTATGAACTATGAGATATTTCAGATTTATGAAAGATTATGGATTTGTGATTTATGAGAATGATTGAGTAAGTTAGATAGCTTTCATGGTTTTATATGATTTATGAGGCGAGGTTTGAGGCTTTCAAGCTCTAATGTTTTGGCATGATTTTGGAGAGATGTTTTTAGAGATTATCTAGTGGGTTATCATACAATACATACAACACATACACACACACACACACACAAGTATAGTCTATAGCCATAGGACACATATGAGGATACTTATGTTATACCCTCAGCTTTACTGGCGAAACCAGTGTCGGACAGCTTCACTAGCGATGGCTAGTGTCGGTGTGTTTGCCATATATAGATATATTCCTTCTCTGGTATAACTCAGAGTCAAACAGCTTCACCTTCGGGTGATGGGGCCTACCATGTTTCTTCACTAGTGTAACCTAGTGTCGTACAGCTTCACCTTCAGGTGATGGATAAGTGCTGCCTTCGTGCGACTATGATACCCCTAGAGAGTACAGTTTTTATGGGATTTATGGATTTGCCTTCGGGCGTTTCGATCATGTTTTAGAGATGATTTTACAGTTACAAACATTTCTTGCATGCTAGAGTTTTAGAAAAACCTATACATAGTATTATATGTGTTTTCAAAACATAGGGATATAATTTTTAGAAATAAAATGATTTTTTTAGTGATAGTATTATTATAAATCTTGGTCCATTCATCTTTTCTGTTTTTGCGCCCCCTTCATGATTTAGATTTGAGGCACATGATTCTGGCGCCAGGTCATCTTTGCGTAGGCATCTTCAAGTCTTTACAGCGTAGGACCCACTCCTTTATTCATATATTTTATTGTAATTCTTTCATATATTCCTTGATTAGTTGTATGCTTTAAACACATTCCGCGTTGACATATTTCTTTTTAATTATTTATTTTCTTTGTTTCACCTGACAAATCCTCCCTGAACATAAACCGACGCCATGGAAATGACATTTGACTTTGAAATTTATATAAAACTAACTACATAATGGGAACCGTGGAGTCCAAACATACATTTTGTGTGTGTGTGTGTGTTTTTTTTTAATCTCTGCAAGGACTTGTAGAGAACCACTGTAACATACTTCGCTATAAACCTCTCTGTTGTCCCGAGTGCCACCACAGATGGTCCACCCTTCCCTCTCTGCATGTAAAGATGATTGAGTACCGCATGTTGAGGTCTCGACAAAGGAGGAAGCATCTCCATGTAAGATGAAGGTGCATTCAGCAGTGTCATTTGTAGGTGTGGAGGAACCAATGAGGGCTCCTTCGCGAAATCTTCAGATCCAAGCTGCAGGTTTTATAACTTGAGTCCGGCGATTGGGGAGGTTCAAGACCAAAAATGCTTCCGATATCTTCTGGGACATATCCTGCAGAAGAATCAAACAATATCAATCAGCTTATAGGACTCACGCAACCAAGCCCAGTTTTCAAACAATTTCTAAACACTCGTACTTAAAACCACAAGGTCAAGACTCAGGCAACCCACAAAAGAAAAAATACGAGGCATTCTGTTGCATGTTACAGGTATCCATTATGCCATTATGGAGAATTACAACTGACGGCACTAATTTAGAAAAATATATAAGAAAAGTTTAACACAATATATTGATTAAAAATCCTCATACAAATGTGCAATTTTAATAATCTCTCATACACACACATATGAAAAAAAGTTCTAAATTTACATCAACGGAATGTCATTTAAGTTTGATCCATAAACTTACGTTCTTTTCCAACATTAAAATTATCATTTCGAGCACTTCTTTTTTAATCGATGCATATAAATTTCTCACGTCACATGAAAGAAAAGGATAATTACAGCTCACTGGAAAAGACAAAGACTACCTGAAGAGGACCTTATGAAGTATCATTAAGTTTTTTAACAGAGACCTAGTCTTCCCCGTCTCGATTGGGGTTTAATATAGGTTTCGGGAGGTTTTAACAATTTGGTAGGAGTCATACAAGATATAGGGAATCCCTGGTTTTTGTCTTGTATCAATGTGTTTCAAGTTAGAGGCTGACCCTAAGTCCAACCTGATCAACTTAGTTGGGCTTGATGCATTTTTCTCTTTTGCAGACAGCTTTGCACGGGCTTAAAACAGAAATTTGGATAAGAGAGCTTTATGAACATAAATTAGATACGCAATGGAGGCGAAAAAGCAGTCTACCAAAAATGTAAACATGAATTTAACAGCTAAGCATGGTGAAGGTATTAAGGGGTGGTTTGGGAGTGAGGTGCTTAAAAAAAAAGCACCTATGAAAAAAAGCTGTGAGGGTTTTAGGTGTTTGGTAAACTAAAAAAAAAAGGCTTATTTTGGAAGCTGCTGTGAAAATAAGCTGAAATCAAAGGAAAAAGTTGAAGCTGCTATTTGCAGCTTTGGAAAACTGGCTTTTTTTCAAAGCACACGGAGCTACAGTGCTCTTTTAATGAAAAGACCCACTATCAGACTGATTTTTTTTTCCAAAAGCACTTTTACAAAAAAGTTTACCAAACACTCTGCTGCTTTATTTCACAGCACAGCCACTTATTCTCACAGCAGTTTTTTTTCAAAGCACAGCAATACCAAAACAGATACTGGTGCTTTCAAAACCCATATATAACAACACAATATTGTTACTGAAGAAATTAAACTCTAAATGACGGATAACTTGAATGGTACATATAAAAGGAAAGCTTATATGTATGGACTATGGACTATGGACTAGGGGAATATCGGTTGCATGAATACGAGAAATATCATCAACACAATATAACCGATATTCCCTGGTCAATATGGTCAACTACCATCAATGAATAGTTAATGGAAATCAAAATCATGAAAAGTAGATTTACATAAACATAATTAATTTCATACTAGAACAAAAAACATAAACAGTATTAAGCTAAAAAAGGATACCCAAATGCTTTAACAAATTCGGCTGAATAGAGTTCCTGAATGATGGTATTATAATAAACATCAAACTATCCCTTATTCAATCCTACAAGAAGGTTATACTACTTTCAGGTTGGGGTTATAAACAGTTATGAGCGATTGGATACAGTGCAATTGGGCATGGACCATTAGTGGTCTACGGGTACATGCCGCAACCCCAATCTAATGAAATGTATTGTTAGATACATACATATAATTTTTCAAGGCCCGTACCTTTCGATATGCCCTGCTATAAGTCTTCAGGGTATGTATGATTTAACAAAGAAACAAAAGAAATATGTTCTCCTCCACTCCCACAAAGAGCCCCAGAATCAATACACATCTTCATACTGCATGTGCAATATGTAGCATGCCATTGCCATGGAGGAGGCTGGTGTTCGTGTGTTTACTGTGTTGTGTATCAGTACGTAATGTACCCAACTTTCTCACTTTGGGAGTTACGTTTGTTGGCATCACATGACCCCCTTTACGCTTGTCCCTCATTGACATTGGAACCTTGGACCTTGGACCTTGGACCTTGGACCCTGGCAGATCAACTTTACCAACGAAATAAACAAATTATATATATATATATATATATGTATTCAAGAAACGAAAGATGTATATAGAAAGTCCACAAGTCTACGGTTACGGAAGACAACCTACTTAGAGCGTCTCCGATGCAAATGACTCAAACCTATTTTCTCATATTGAATGAACTTTTTGTTGTTGGCATGAGCTCCACAAAGGACTCAATCCCATATTGAAACCGAAATTTGACTCTCACTTTTCACAAAATCCAACTTTGAATTTTAAGCCTTATATGCATGGGAGAGTTTCGTCTTATTTTGAACTCAAATATGAGATTTGAGACATTGCATCGGAGATAATGCAACCAATTAGTAAAACCCGATCTTCTGCTAAAGAATCAATTATTTGAGGCAGATATGTATATTCATAATACACACAATTGTATGTCTGACAAGTGACAAATTGTTTATATAACTCAACAATCTTTTGTCAGCCTCCTGCTGTTGCAATGGTATTACAAGTCCGAATGCACTGCGAAGCGTGCGCCCAAGTTCTACAGAAGCGAATTCGAAGGATCCAAGGTACTTATATCATCATACATCATTCATTATAATCCTTCATTTTCGAAGCTCAGCCTCAGATATTTGTTTCAGTTCAATTTACAGGTCTTCTTCACCGCATGCATTATGCATAGCATTAGATACAGTACAAATAGTTATATTCTAGAAACAAGGGCCCAATAAGCATTATATGAATGGTCAGTTTTGTTTCTTTTATTTTCCAAGTAATGAATTTACTTACTTGTTGGGCGGTGCAGCCTCTGAAGGGATACATCCATTCTTTCCTGACTTGTGTGAGCAGTTTAAACATATAACAATATATGTTTTTCCCCTGTTAGAGGTATGGTCTTGTGTTAAATTTGATCTTCCTAAGTATTTTCTTTCGTTTGAGATTAAGGTCAAACGCAGAAGAATAATGCCATTATTTCTTGTTATGCCTCTAAATCAGTAGACCTGACAGTTAACTGTTATTCTATCTTTGTAGTGTGGGATGATTTTCTCAATGCAGTTCTTGGGTCTTAAGTCGGTAAATGACTCAATCCTTTGTATTTTGTTTGAATGCAAATGTCTACTTATTACTTCGTTTATGTTCTTTCTTCTGTTTGTTGTTTCTTAGAATTATTTCAATTTGGGTTGTGTATTTCTTACCAGATGCCACATTGCAACTAAATAATTTAGAAAAATGTAAACAGGAGTGAGTATGCAGTTTGTTGAATCCGAATGATACTGATATATACCCTCCTCCTTTCATCTGAAAAACGGGTTTATGCTTGGTGCCAATGTGCTTTTCAATTTGCTGCAGTCAACGTTCCAGTTCTATCTCAATGGGGAAAAGGTCGAAGAGATTTCCACTGGATCCATCAAGCGCGTGATAAAGACTTTTGAAAATGTCTACAGGTAATTCTTTTCTTTGCTCTTTTGAATTTGCACAGTTCAAGTCAAGTTTTCTCCAACTGTGATGTTTTTGTTTCTGTTTTTGTGATATATGGATGAATTACATGTTTCTGAATTGAACCTATTGTTGTGATGTTTTTGTTTCTGTTTTTGTGTGAATTACATGTTTCTGAATTGAACCTATTGTTGTGATGTTTTTGTTTCTGTTTTTGTGATATATGGATGAATTACATGTTTCTGAATTGAACCTATTGTTGAAGGGAACTTTAACAAAAATCTCCTGGTACTGTTCAAAACCACATTTTTACACTAAAAAGTCAATCCTGGTACTATTCACTTTACCCTTTATTTTGTCCTTATCGTTAAAACTCAAAGTTTTCAAACCCTTTTCATTAGTTTTCCTATTGTTGAATGCTCATCTGGTGTACTTGCAACTAAACGTTTCTGAAGTCCATCTGGGATGAAGAAAAGGAGAAGACGACGAGGACCTAAGGAAGTTAAGAATGAAGAAGTTGATCCGTCTAAACTTAGCAAGGTACTTCCTAATAGGTTTCCTGCATCAGCATATCCCAAAGTGATGGAGGCGGTTGAGTCTTTACCTGAGGCAAATCCCTTGGGCGAATTGTGGTGGTTTGCCAAAGGACTATTTACATCTGATGAGAAGAGGGAGCGATTCTGTGAGTTGGAAGATGATCGGGCCAAGCTTGAATGGCTCCATTGCGAAATGGCCGAGTAATGTGCACTTAATAGTATGTTTGACTTAAATGTCTGGGACTCTGGAATAGATTTGATACGTTGAACTGTTATTTGGGTGATTAATTCTAGTAGTATGTGGGTTCTGGTGATCATCTATCTAATATACGGATGCTTCAATTTGAAATGCTCCAGCATTATACCCAACTAACGTCTCAATTTTTCAAAAAATAAAAAAGTAAGAAGCAGTCCTCCATTGATGGTCTTCGTACAACAATATGAAGAAAACTAGAAATAGGAGAAACTAGAGAGAAAGCGAACGAAATCGAAAGCTCCAGTTAGTATTTTTGTATTTCATCGGATCAACCAGAGGTCTATTTGTACCATTGAACCTACTCAAATAATACTTAAGGGAGAGCTCTCTCTCTCTCTCTCTCTCTCGTTTGGCAGCTCGGACTGTACTGACTATTTCTGTCGGATAGGATAAATAGTCATCGGATAGTACTGACTAAATTAGTCGGGCGTTTGGTGCAGTATCGGACTAATGACCGTATTATTTATACTGTGTTTGGTTTTATACCGGATAGGCTAAATCAAACTTAAAATTAAATTAAACTTATAAAAATAAAAAAAAAATCTGAAACCATCCCTTCTTCTTCCCCGTTCTCTCCGCCGCACCCCTCAAACGTCCTCCCTCTCTCTCCCTTCTTCTTCCCCGCCTGCCTGCACATCTGGTGAGCAACCATGAGTCATCAGATCCACATCAACCCAAATCAAGAGTGCATGCTTCTTCGCAAGACCCAGTTGCAGGGGAGGACGACGACGGCGACGGGGAGGACGCCGATGGACGACGACGTCGACGGGGAGGACGAAGACGGCGACGGGGAGGACGCCGATGGTGAGAGAAGGTGACCGGGGGGGGGGGAGGACGACGACGCCTATAGAGAGAGAGAGAGAGAGAGAGAGAGAGAGAGAGAGGGCCGACTAATAATCCCGGCCTTTTGGTTGGTTTTATTAGTCCGGTGTATACCGTACTAAATAAGCACACCGGTTAATTTAATCCGGCGCTTATTTAGTACGAGTGAACGCCAAACACCCGCGTCCGTATAATTAGTCCTATCCGATCCTCTATCCGATCTGCCAAACAGGGCCTTAGAGAGCATCTCTATGAGGCCACAAGCGGAATAGGAGCTTTCGAGACGGGGATGAGACCACAAGCGGGCCATAGTTAAGATGACAAATTAGAAGAGTGGGGGTAGGGATGACCTAGTACAGTTTCTCTTCCTCTACGAGTCATTTTGAAACAAAGTGAAGACAAAAAAAATTGATTTAAGAAAAAAATTAGCTTAAGTTCATTCTTTAATAATTCCGGGCTAAAATTTTAGGACAGAAAGGTTGGAGCAGAAAATATGTTTCTGGGCTAAAAGCCAAATTTTTCGGGCTAAAAAATTTGGCTTTTAGCTCAAGTGTTGGAGATAGTCTTACAGACCCCTAATCCCCAATACCCTTTTGCCTCCTGTCACCAACCATTGCCCACCACCGAGCCACCACACCTCCTTCAATACCCTTTTATAATGTCCCATTTTTTACACTTACGTAAGTTTTCCAATCTTTTTTTTTTTTTTTTTTTTTTTTTACAAGTAAGTTTTCTAATGTTAGTCTAAATAATAGCATAGGATGTTATTAAAATTGATATATACTGGATAAAAATTTTAGATTCATAACAAGTTATAGATATAGCTATGATTATTAGAATGTAAAATTGATATGTACTGGAGAGCCTTCAGCTCCAACCACCTCACCTCGCCCATTATGACCTCGGCCTGCCGGTTCTTCTTGTCCATCTTCAGCTGCTCGACTCTCTTCGCGTTCGCCGCGTATTCGGTTAAACAAGATTTGCCGCCCGACTCTCTTCGTGTATTTTTTGTGACCATACTCAGGTGGTAGTAATACTAACACTCACAAACCCACTTATTTATTATACGACGAGTTTGAATTTTGAGAATTTTATCTATTTGCTATACAGAACCCGATATTTTAACTCCTTCAACGTTGTGATAAATATCACTTGAGAATGAGCAAAAATATTCACTAAAATAAATACCATTCTATAATTTTATAAATTTTACATAATAAAAATAAATGCACTCCTCCATCATTTCTCAAAGAATTGGTCTCTCATGTTTGACTTTGGAATTTGGTGGTTAATTAACTTCTTGACTTGGGAATTAGCTCTTAATTCATCTCTTCTGTTATTTTTTTACTTCTTTTCTGGAAGGTCCGAGAAGCTTTTACTTCCCGCCTCACACGATTTCTTGTCACCCAAGAAATTTTTGTTACAACATTCTTTCATAAGCCATTAACCAAGGAAAGAAAGAAGTAGTTCATATGACAATTTTGCTTGGACGAGCTAGCATCTTTCATCTCCTAAACAGTTATCCTTTTCCTCAGGGCCACTTGGCCCTTCCTCGCCATAGAGTTGCGTAGGAAACAACTCGATTAAGTTCTCGACAGAGAATCGAACAAAGAAGCGAAGGCGATCAATCAACTTATCTAGTTCCCACCGTCCATCATACACAATGTCGGACCCCAGTCTCGCATATACTGCAACCACGATGGTTCTGATAATAACGCCATTGCCCAGGCACTCAGCCGCAACAACTTGATACATGGTACTCGAATCAATGAAAAACTTGCTCCGCGCAGCGTCATTCCTTACTCCCAAGTCAAACTTCGATGAACCCTGGAGGAAAGTCCCGGGATGAGCATATAGCTACTGTAACCATGTTTTGAAGAATATACAATTGGCTTATTCCCTTCGGTGAACTGTTGAATTGTGGCCAAGTGGCCATCACCTTTCCTAATAAACAAACCAAAAGAAAAAAAAAGGGGAAAGGACAACATGATTATGTTTCCTTGTTTTGAGGAAAAGAAAAGGGAAATTTGTCTAAAGTTTTCTTTGGTCCATGTGGGAAGTCACGGGGTGACTTGAATGAATGATTTAGCAGCAATTGCTGCTTTTGTTGTGAAGAGAAGAAAATAGAGAGCCGAAGAGAAGAGAGGGAGAGAAAGAAGGTACTGCTGCAGTACCATTTTCAGAGAAGGAGTTGTTGTTCCTTTCATTGGATAGTTCTCACTCCATCAAAGTGTTATTGTTGTAATAGCTTTGAGCTTTGTATAAAGAAGAAATTAATCACTATATTTCTTTCTCTATTTGTTTCTTTAGAGTGTGAGAGTTATTGGGTGTATTGGGTTATTTGGGTTGTGAGATTGCCAACACTTTGTAAACTCCCATTTGGTTGATAGTGGATTATTGGGTGAGCTCCTACTGCTCCGAGGACGTACTCCAGTTACACTGACTGTTGAGGAACCTCGTTAAAACCTTGGTGTCTTTAATATTTGTTCTTGCATTTTCATTTGATATATTTATTGTGGGTTAGCTTGAGTTGGTTCCAAAAAGGTTTGGTGCTATCCTAGCACAACAATTGGTATCAGAGCACTAGTTGCTCTTGGGTACTGTTTAGTTGCCAAAGATGTCAGACGGGCAAGATGAGAATCCTTTTGGAAGCACCTCCGGGTTTGCAAGAACTACGGTGCAAAATGCAAAGTTCGAAGTTGAAAAGTTTGATGTCACAAACAACTTCGGGATGTGGCAATGTGAGGTCAAAGATGTGTTGCCTCAACAAGATCTACTTGCCGCTTTGGGAGAAAAGCCGGAAGCTATGTCGAAGTCGGAATGGGAGAAATTAAATTTGTGGGCTTGCTCTTCAATTCGGTTGTGCCTTGCAAAAACTCAGAAGTATTTTGTGATGCGGGAGACGGTAGCAAGTGTGTTGTGGCAAAAATTGGAAGACAAGTATATGACGAAGAGTGCAGAGAACCGGCTACACTTGAAGAAAAAGCTCTACCGCTTCCAATACAAAGAAGGTACAAAAATGATTAGACACCTTGATGCTTTTAATAAGTTGATTGCCGACTTGTTAAATTTAGATGAGGATATTAAGGATGAAGATAAGGCCTTAATATTGTTGAATTCTTTGCCGGACTCTTATGAGCATTTTGTTACCACTATTATGCATGGTAAAGAAACTGTGAAATTTGAAGATGTGTCAAATGCCTTGATGAATTATGAAATGAGGCATAGAGATAAAAACCATGATAGTACCTCTGAAGCTTTATTTGTTAGAGGTAGATCATCGGAGAGAAGATCATCTTCTAGCAGGAAAAAATCACAGTCTCGACCTAGAGGAAACTCTAAAGGTAGAAAAACTTTGGAAAGGGATGAATGTGCCTTTTGTCATAATAAGGGCCATTGGAAGAAAGACTGTCCTAAGTTGAAGACCAAAGGAAAAGAAAGTTTTGAAGCCAATGTTGCTGAGGTTGAAACAGATGTTTTTGATTTTGCTTTAACCACTTCCTCATCATTTGATTGTGCTACTAAATGGGTGTTGGATACGGGTTGTGCTCATCATATGACTCCTCACAAGGATTGGTTTTCAAGCTTGAAAGAGTTTGATGGTGGCGTTGTGTTCATGGGAGATGACAATCCGTGCACAACAAAAGGGATTGGTACAGTTCGTTTGAAGTTGCATGATGGCATGGTTAAAGAGTTGACAGGTGTTCGGTATGTACCGAATTTGAAGAAAAATCTTATTTCTTTGGGTACTTTGGAATCTAAGGGTTTCAGGTTTCATTCAGATGGACAGACATTGAAAGTTACTTATGGTGCACTTGTTGTGATGAAAACTCCTAGATGTGGCCATTTGTATTTATTGCAGGGAAGCACTGTGACAGGTGAAGCATCTGTAGTCTCTGAAAATATGGGCACATCTGATTCAGATACTACTAGACTGTGGCATATGAGATTAGGCCATGCTGGTGAGAAAGCTCTACAAGGGCTTGTGAAACAAGGTCTTTTAAAAGGTGCCACGACTTGTAAGCTTGATTTATGCGAGCATTGTGTCTTGGGGAAGCAAACTAGAGTGAAGTTTGGTACTGCTGTACATCAGACGAAGGGCATTCTTGATTATGTGCATTCGGATGTTTGGGGTCCTACAAAGACTCCCTCTTTGAGTGGTAGACATTGGTTCGTGACCTTTGTTGATGATTATTCAAGAAGGTCTTGGGTCTACACTATGAAGCACAAGAGTGAGGTGTTAAGCATTTTCTTGGGTTGGAAGAAAATGGTTGAGAACCAGACTGGGAGAAAGATTAAGATTTTGAGATCGGATAATGGTGGTGAATACACATCCGATC